AAAACGAACTTTTTAATTTTATGCAAGTCTTTTTACAAACACCTGTACTCAAAAAACATTGTAAAAACATTTGTAAGCGGGGAATATTTCACGGGACCCGTGGTCGTCAAAGTGTGAATTTCATCACATATACCAAACACTTCGTTGCATGAGGCGAATTTTCATCACAGTAGTGGTGAACTTACGTCACGTTCATCGTAGCCGCAAAATAGACCATTACTAGATAAGCAAACTTTCGTCTTATATAAATAACGTTATGCGATGGGGATAGAAACGATTCTGTTGTATATCTACAACGGTATTTATCAGTGACAAAAGTTCCGGCACCTTGTGCTTTATTTTCACGTTACGGTGTATGACGAAAGTTCAGCTGGAATCGTTAAAAAACATGGCATTTCCATCACATCCAATGGATGTTACGTGTATGTTCGTCACAGCCACAACAAACGCACCAAAATCAATGGTAATTTAATGCTTCTTAATCTTATTTTTCTCCGAAAAACGTGCTTTTGTCACAAATCCCTCCCCTCTCTTCCGTGTGATAATGATAAAGTTGCGTTGTGACGAAAATGCCTTTTATCATTAAAAACAGAATAAATTAGAAGAAAAAAAGAGAATAGTCTGAAAAAGTATATAAGCTGAGTTATTTAGACAGAGAAATTAATAGTTTCATCATTTTATAAGAATAAAAAAATGATAATGTTAACGTTTTTAAACATCGTCCTTGCGTTACTAATCTCTTGTAATTCTACATCACGTATGTATAAATAAACCCTCTTCTAAATAATTCTCTGAAGTAACGTTAACCACTACTCTCTTCTTTGAATTTTTTAGAGTCGGAAAACGAAAAAGAAGATAATAAAAATAGATTAGTATTATCAGATGATGATGCACGTGGAATTCTTGCTGAAGGTGGAGTCAACGTTCATATGTATAACTTTATTAGATATGAAAATCACCGGATATCAATTTATGAATCGGCATCAAATGAAGGAGGTGTAACATCGAAATTTTTCTATGTACCATTAATGTTTCCAGTATTGAATGCTAAAGAAAACAAATGGATATGGACAGCACTAGACGGTAGTCAAATACGTGTGAGTTTAGCTACAGGAAATGATGAAGTTGAACAGTTGATACGTGATAAAATATCAAAAAATTATACAAATGATATTAATATTGCACCATTAATTATTGATTCGTTAACAGCTGTTATTACAAGTGGTAACGGCGATCCAGTTTCTGGAGTTCATCCCCATCGTTTTGTTAATCCATCGCAATTGGTTTTAACTTTTCGATTTCAATGTACATCACCATCACTTGCACAAGAAGTAATTAAAAAAATTTTAGACGGTGATTATGATATTGAATTAGCTGCTTATTATGCTGGTATTCATAAAATCTCAATGAATATGGTTAAAATCACAGGCGATACATTGAAAACTGTATTAAGTGGTACAACAGCTGACGGCGGTAATACAAATGCAAAATATATTCATCGTAAACAAGCAAGTAATTTTGTCTCAGGTTATATGGCAAATGTTAAGAAAACCATCTATATTGAAAATCCGCAGGCTGATACGACGCAATTGATAGCTGGCTTAGAAGATCAGTTTAAAACACTCATGCAACAAGGTAAAAAGAGTGGGCTTTTTTAAAGTAAAGTAACAAAAAAAAACAGCACCGGCTTAAAGTTGCACAGGTAGGAGAGAATATGTCAAAGCGAGCCTTGATCTGGTTGCAAACTTCTGTTAAGAGTTAGACTACATATCCATAGATATAATGGATTTCAAGATACCCTGTAACGAGTAGATGCAGATGGTAAGAATGGTATTGTTTTGACCGAAAGTAAAATATTGAAAGTAGAAACACCGAAAAAGAGAGATCGAAAAAAAACGTTGAACGTAAAAAATGCCGAAAGAAAATTATCAGAAAAAGAATGTCGAAAACTCTTTAAGTCGAAAAATGAAATGTCGATCGCATAAAAACGTCGAAAAAATTTAAGACGTAGTTGAGAGACAGTTGTTAGGTGTCCCAGTCATAGCCACTTTCTTGTCTACTACCCGAGAATAATGCTTTTACGCGAGAATTATACATGATGTATAAGGTATTATGCAGTCCCTACGATCGACATAGCCACTTTTTTGTCTACTGCAAGAGAATAATGCTGTTTGCTGTGAGAATTATGCATGATCGAGAAGATATTATGGTGTTTCCACAAGAATTTATATCTCTTTCTAGAATCTTTCTCTAGTAAAAATATTAGACACTTCTTAAAATTATCTTACTAAGATCTTATAAGATCTCACCTTTCAGATTTTGATAAGATAATCTAAGATCTTAGCGTTTAAGATCTTAATAACATTTAATGACGCTACTTCCATTCACCCTTTTGTTTTGCTCACATTCATCTCTGTCAGTGACACCGAAATATGATTGATTTTACGGTTATTTGTCTTCCAGACTCTACTAGTAGTTGTTCTCTCGAAAGTGTTCAACAACGTTTTAGAAAGTGTACATGCAGGTCAAGGTCCATAGTTGAACACTCGAAAATATGAAATTTCTCTTCATTCTTCAACACTGTTCAACTGCTGCTTTGGATACTGCAGGTTAAAAATTCCAGCAAATCGTAAATGAATACTGTTTAAAAAATGCCAGCGTTCTTACTATTAAGATCCAATCAGATTCTTATGCAATCTTGAAAAAATCTCAGACAGTGTAATCTTTGTAAGATCTTGGAAAAATCTTATGAAGATTTTCGTAAGATTTCGCTTACATTTGTCTAAAATCTTAGAAACATCAAATCTTTGAATTCTCACGATCTTAGTAAGATTTTTCTAAGATCTTGGTAAGATTCGAGTAAGTTTTTCACTAGGGTTTTCTCCAGTACACGACAATGATGCTTTTACGCAACAATTATGCTGGTTGCTATAAGAGTTATTTGTTACTTCTAGATTGTGCATAATTATCACAAAAAACAGCAAATTCTCGTATAAATACCTTACTCCCGTGACCTAGACAAAGAAGTTTCTATGAAAAGATACAAAATTCTCGTGAACACAGCATAATATCTTTTATATAACCACCAACCGTCGTTTTATGAGACACAGAGATCTTCGCAAACTCTCTGTATTCGAGTTGAAGAAAATATATTATACTGTTTCTGATTTCATAGTAGATACATCAAGATTTGATAATACTTGATGTCGTAACTGTCCTTTATAGTTTGCTTATACATATAGTCTGTGCATCAGTGGAATGCTCGTTAAATACAACTTTGATTATATTTGTTTTTTCGCTCCCCTTCACGCACACACACCATATTTGTTACTTCTTTTACCACACCTATTTTTTTTTTGTAACTTTCATATCGTTTTTATCATTCTCTCTTGTTCGCTCTTTGTATTTACTAATATTGAGAATCGGATCTATAATGCCTGAGCGATTGATCCCTAATAAATGTTTAGATTAATATTTTTTAGTCTGAGACAATCTAGATGTTATGTTCTCTTCACGAGAATTTTGTATCTCTTAACTTTTTCTTTAACTTCTTTTATTTTTAGTCTGTTATGAATCTCGAGTTTTATGTGCAATAAAAAATGTCATCTCACTATTCTAGACCGTCTACGTGAATTTCTTTCAGTATTTGACATTTTTTTTCTTGGTGTCTTTTTTCTATCAAAGTAACAGTCGACGTTTACTTTTCGCTCTTTTTTTCCCGACGTTTCTTCTTTCGACATATCTTCTTTCTACTAAATCAATATATACAATGGTAAAGGAGATACAAAGAGAGACTGACTGTACTATAAAATCTTTTTAGGAATTGCACATTTTCGAAAAGCACGGAAAATAGAACAATCTGATTTCTTCATGTAAACGGCGTTGACTATTATAGCATCACTGGGATCTCGGGTCCTAATAACTTATGTATTAGAAAAACTGACTGACGCCAAAGTTGAAAACGGTACAGCAAACCGGCACAGACCTGCTCGAGCCGGATAGATGTCGGACCGGTTTCTCCTGGTTTTAGCGGTTAAAGAAGTAGTCTGAACTGACCGGTTTCCATCGGCCGAGTACTTTTAACCGACTAAATCGGACCAGTTGGAAAATTATCAATCAGTTACAACTTTGACTAACATCTTGATGATCACGTGTACTAACTAGCTGGTTTAGTCGATTCTGGCCGTCGGTATCGGTTACAACCGATAACCAGTTACAACTGGCATCAGTTGTTCGATTATAACCGTAACCGGTGCATCCCTAGTCCATTCTCCTCTTCTTTCTATTTAGCTATGGATAGTTCAACTAAAACACAATTGGATGCTAAACTATTTGATCAGTTATGGTCATCGTCTGATCTGGATCCTGATGTTATTCGTTCTGATATGAATAAAATCTTTACTTATAACAAAACGGCAACTGAACAGGAAGGTTCAACTGATAATTATTTTAATTATAATGAAAAAGAAGCTCAAGCATCAGATACAAAAGCAAAACTAGCAATTGGTTTTAAAGGATTTGGAGGCAGTGCTGAAGCTTCACATGCACAATCATCATCAAATGAAATAGCGGAGACAACACATGCTGTCGTTTCACAAAAATCCGTTCAAGATTTTCTTACTCAATAAAATATTGAAACAGAATGGATTGGTGAAATATGGCAACCAAAATCGTTTATGGTCTACAAATTAACCGATATTACGGATCGTCTAGAAGTAGCATTGGTAGCTAAACAATTGATTGCTGAAAAGCAGAACGGTGCAGAGATGAAATATTTCAATATCGACAACGTACCAGTGTTGAGCGGAACTAGTAAGAATCGATTATCATTCCGATAATACAATTTTCAACTAACATCGTCGTCAAAACACAAAACTCATAGTTGTATTCAAAATAACTTTTGATAGAACAGAGATGCAGTGACCTGCGGTTTTCACCCATCTGCAGTTAAGACTTTAAGACATACAAATAAAAAAACGATTTTTTAAGGAATCAAAAGAATGTCGACGTGTGAGTTTGATCCTCCTCTATGAGCCTATAAAAGTCAAAGATCTGTAACTCCTATCGTCCCAAAGATAGAGATATTCTCCGAGGGCATACCTACCATCTATCAGTTACATCTGAGAACCTTACGACATGTTACAAAAAAAAACGACTAAGTTGATCATTTGTAGCAGTGTTTAGTTTCACCTTGGAAATTAGAAATTTCAGCTGAGTCGCTTAATTAAAAAAGACCTAGTTTTCGCCTCTAACATTACAAAACTAAAAGACGTATAACTCACTTAGATCTAATTTAAATTGACTGGAAATATACAATCCTGTACGAGCAAGATCAGAAAGGCCTTTTTTAAAAAGAGTTCTAAAGTAAAACAACGTATGTACGGTTTTCAATGCGATCCGTGGAAATCCCTAAACAAATTGTCCAAATTCCAATCCTGAATATTTCGTTCTATCAGTGCTGACTCTCTCCTGGAAGTTCTAGTAAAAAATAATCTTTTTTGGATCGCATAAAAGTCATCTTTATTTAAAAGGCTGAAAATCGCAAGCTTGTATCTCGTTCCCCCTATCAAAATTATTTGAAAACATCCATCACGCTTCTATTTTGGTAGCGAATATTTGCATTTTTTTTTCAACTGAGTTGAATTCACACTCGCAATCAAGATTTACAATAAGCCGTCTGCAAAAATATAATTATATTTCAGACTAAAAAATTAATTTATACTGTGTATGGATAGATGAATGAACAAACAAATGAAGGCAATCTCTAATTTACACGTTTCATCTTTGTTTTAGCGCATGAATCTACTACAGTGATAACAACAGCAGCCACTACACCAACAATCATAACAACCACAACAGCGCGGTGTAAATAAAAACTTACTTTTAGGATTTAGATTTCTTGTTATTGAACAGTTAACGAAGTACAATACTAAGATTGGGTCGAGAAATGGTATTTTCATATACCAATATGTTCCTCCCGTCAAGCTTCACCTAATGGTATATGAGGATCTCAGTATACTTTAAGTGCAAAGTTAGCTTCTTTTTGAGAAAACGCACCCAAATGCTGATACTATTTCGTACTTTAGGACCGGATAGTAGAACAAAACATGAGACTTATATTTTTTCTTATTATTATTTTTATTATCAATCATATTAATTATGTAGATAATCTCAGGATTGATTCTCACAGCAGGTCGTGAGGGAACCCTACCCCCAATAATCGAAATCTTTTCTTTTTTCACAGAAGTCACAATTTACTACGCTATGATTTTTTCGTTCGGTTATTTGATGATTTTTAAAATTGTTTATTTTTCTTCTGTCAAGTAAATGTCATCAGTATTTTCTTCTACTGTACTGTATATAGCAAAAACGTTTTACACTGATCATAACCAAAAAATTATCGATCATCTTTCCCATTCCCTCAACCCTAGAAGCCTCGCGCCAGACCTGAATAATCTAAGCTATTTGCAAGACTGTGTTAAATGTATTTAATTCTATACCTTTTAAACATCCGAAATCACTAATTTATTTCTATTAGTCATTTGTACACGTTTAGCACCTGATAAATATGAAAAATTTGAATGGAAATATTGTAATGGATCATCACATCCCGGTGTCGAAGTAATCAATATTGACCTTACGCCAGCACCATTACTCTATCCCGGTGATGCTAATTTTACATTTATTGCTGATATAAAACGTGGATTAAGTAAGTTAGTTAGCTACGAGAGGAGGTGTGAACTGAAGCGCTTCTTCTAGTCTATCATGGTTACCATCATCATGTATTCCTTTTTTCAGCGGGGGCTATTATTGTGAAACTTGATATTCTTCGTATTATATCTGGAATTACATTGCCTGTTAGGTGTTACATAGTTGATGGAAAAGAGGTTGGTTCATGCAAATACAAAGACTTATGTGTAACGTTACAAGCATTATTTTCACAATTTAATCCTCGCGATTGTCCACAAGAATTGTTCCGATGGGGCATTGATTGTAAATGCCCATTTAATATACCAGCTTCACAACGTCTAGATGTTCATCAATTATTTTCATCATCTGCCTTATCAGCTGCACAAACATCATTTTATCGTTTATTTGCCAGTGGTATATTTAACATAAAAGTTGAAATATCAGACATAAGAGGACCTTTAGTATGTTTAGAACTGCGTTTTACAATAAAACCTACAAAAAAAAACTGACGACAAAGAAACACAATACAATAATAAGATTCGTGAGCCTAGTTCTATGAAATGTGACACTATAGAGAAATTGATAACTTCTTGGTCTTTTTTTTCTTTGTTTCTTCATTTGAAAAAATAAACATTGTCAAATAGAGAGAAAAAATGAGACTAAAAATGTTTCAATTTTCCCAAATAAAATATAGGAGTGTGAGAGTGAGACTAGATGACAGACGTGCGCGATTACAATTACAAAATGTAAAGTTCAAACATGTATGTAAAGTTGAACTTTACTTGTTCACAATTCTAAAATTCTTAATTCTAGGGGTGAGTGCGGGGGTCAGGGTGAGGGTGAGCGTGAATATGCAATTTTACATGTATGTAAAGCTCGAAATTCTAGAATTCTGAATTCTACAGATAATAGCAATGTATGAACTTTACATTTTGTAATTGTAATCGCGCAGCCCTCCTAGACGAGATACTTATTACAAATATAAGACACTATCTTTATAGTCAGCAGCAAATTTTGGATAAATTTTAGAAAATCATACACACAGTACTTGAATTTAGCGATGAAATTAACGTAATAAAAGAGATGTTTTTTCTTAGACAAAGATTTTAGTGTAACTGATAGAGGCGATACATACCAACGATTGCATTGGTCATCGTCAAATTATAAGAAACAGAAGTGAGTATAATAATGAACTGTCGGTGTCGTGAGAATTGTTGGGCCTTGATGCTTTGTACAGATTCTTTGTAAAGTGAAGCGATCAAAAAGACTTTTGACAAATTTAGCCAGAGTCAAGATTCTTGACAGAGCTCGCCCAGGAATTACGATCTGTGATAATGACTACTGCAAAAAACAGGAATAATAAGAAAGAAAAATATGTTCCCGTGCCGGGGATCGAACCCGGGCCTTGACGGTGAGAGCGTCAAATCCTAACCACTAGACCACGCGGGAGACACAGTTCTCTTCTGAAAACATCAGCTTCAGAAAAGCAGTTAAATTCCAAAAGACTACACAAAAATGATGTGCACTGAAATAATGGCACAAGAAATGTAAGTATAACTAAACGTTTATTTCATTATACGAACGCATTTTTACTACAATGCGCACAGTGTCAATTTTTGTATGTTCTTCATCTGTTGCTCTATATGCTACTTTCATAGAAGAATATTATATCAGAGAGTATTATATACTATATCGATTCTTGCATGCAGGGGTCTCTATAGTAACTAAAATGAAGTTCAATTCCATACAGTTAATAGCACAGTGACCACCCTCACGGGAATCGATATCTCCTATATTCCTATATTGAACTTGTAATCTTTTAAAACTTTAGTTGTTTTGACACCCTTCTCATTTACTTGATATAGCTAGCACAGCACTTTGTGTGTTCATTGTAAAAGCTTGTTAAGCCAATGGTTCATTGATTTAAGCTTTTTATTTAAAGAATTCAAAATGAACAAGAAAACAAAACCAATCAAATGAAATCGTCGTCCTAAGGACTACATTGTATCTCCTGAGAGGAATCTCATGCTTCACTTGAACACCAGCTGCCAGTTTATGTACTCCATAGGTTGTATATGTCTCCTCATATGAAAACTACCTGCTTTTTCCTCGCAACAATTCAAGCCGGGAGACCGCGATATTTGGATCGGGCATGTCGAGAAACGGTGTTCACCTAAGTTTCGTCTTGAAGGCAGACAAAAAGTTCCTGTCGAAATTTTTGCCTGAGGTGTTTTGCCTAAAATTTAGGACGAAAACTTTTTTTTCAAAACACGTCGAATTTTATATCATTCGATGCAGTTTTTTTCGTAGATTCCGAATATCACATTGGTTTTGCATAAAAATGCTTCTGAACGTTTAAAATTTAAGTTTTTCACTTTTTTCGTTCTGCATATATAAGTTCGTGTTCACTGTGAAAAAGAGAAAATATGTTTTTTTCTTCTCTCTTTTCTCTCTTCCCATATGATGAACACG